TCATAAATCAGGCGGTGAGAGGAGTGTAAGCATAATCTTACGCCAACATATACGCCCGTTTCTACGCAAGAATGATAAATAGGGCCACTGGGTGGCAAAGGTGACAGGGTTGGAGGAGGAGAGTCGGTTGGAGGAGGGCAGAAACGCTTGCGCGGTCTGTCCTAACCTCGTAGATCTGGTGAGGCTCTCCTCCTTCTGACCTGCGGGTCAGGAACGGCTTGAGGAGGCTGGAGCGGCCGATTTGTTGGACCGCTTCAGCTGAAGGGCGCTTGTGAGGGCGCTGGCGGGGAAACGGACGACCTCGGGCTCCCCAGACCGTAGTTGGTGGGGGGTGAGCCGGGTCACTCCTTCTAGTAGAGAATTCAGCCCTATGAGCAGAGCGTTCTCGGGTTTGAGAAGGGGGAGGGTTGGAGTCTCTTTGCTCTCTAACCCTCCTGGGCATAAACTGCCTGAACGCGGCCGACTGAGACTTAGCGGCACGGAACTTCTCAACCACCGTGTTGACCGCCTCCCCGAAAAGACCTGAGTGGGAGATAGGGGCGTCCAGGAGAAAACTCTTATCCTTGTCTCGGATCTCCGTGAGATTCAACCAGAGGTGGCGCTCTGCGACAACCGAGTCCGCCATAGAACGACCAACAGCCCGAGCAGTGTGTTTGGTGGCTCTTAGGGCTAGATCTGTGGCTTTGCGAAGCTCTTTGACAGCTTTGGGCATCTGTCCCTCTCCTTCATCCATGTCCTTTAAGACGTCCGCTTGGTAGGCTTGAAGGATGGCCATGGTATGCAGGGCCATGCCTGCTTGACCAGCCGCCATGTATGACTTCCCTATAAGGGAGGAAGTAGTCCTACAAGCCTTGGAAGGAAGGAGGGACGCGACTTCCAGGACGGTGCAGACGACGGGGCGAGGTGGTTAGCCAGCGTGTCCTCGACCGCTGGAATAGCGGAATAACCCTGCTCCACAAAACCCACAAGGTTGGTGAGATCAGCGGCTGCCGCATTTGTTAAGTGTGCGGAGAAAGGCTGCTTCCAGGATCTGGAGATCTCGTGATGCAGATCGCTGAAAAAGGGCAACTTTCTTCGCTCTGGCCTAGAATTAGGGCCACGTAGGAACCTCTCGTCGAGTTTGGACGATAGAGACTCGCGGGGCTCATCAGGCCAGTCTATAGAGAGCTTCTCTGTAGCGCCCGACAGCACGTCAATAAGCTCAGTGTAGGCCGGAGTAGGCCGCGCGTCCTGGCCGCTAGACGGGATAACGTCATCAGTCAAAGCAGGCCCGAAATCCTCGGAGTCGGAAGCTGCAGTGTAAATCACGTCATCCAGACCGAAAGAAACCGATTCGTGGGCTCCCGGGCTGGGGCATAAATAATCATGCGCGAATTCAACCGCGCCACGTGCGTGCTCGGGAGAGAAAGGGCGAGGCCAGTCTGCTCGTACTCAATATCCTCGAGCTCATAGGTTAAATTGGGGCGGAGCGCACCGGAGCGCAGCTCCGCCTCCTCGGGTCCACAACACACCCTGCCGGAGCTCAGCTCCGTCTCCTTCAGCACCAAATATATAAAATTTGTTGAGTGTACATAATGAAAGTTATGAAATAATTGGCTAATATTAACTCGAATTTGGTGCTGCAATGATTCGCCCATCGCAACGATAACTAACCTTCTCATCTGATCTGCTTCAGCACTCACCCGCTCGTCAATGTCAAAATGTTTGAGTCCAATCAAAGTAAGTGGGATTTATGTTCACAGAAGCGCGAGCCGAGCGCGAATCCCAATGCGACGCTTCACTTCAGTTAACGAGCATACCGTGCGAGATCAGATGCTAATCTAAACAGCTGTTTGTCGATAGAAGTTTTAAATGATCGACACAGAAATACTCAGTTTGATCAACGACAGTGGATACTATAAGCTCAATTTAACAACACAAGCACCCTATTAAATATATTGCCATTATTATTGTAATATATTTGTATAACGTTACCTCGAATGTGTTCGACTTTTCACTGTTTGTATCACTCCGCTTGTTCGTGTTTGCGCAACTTCATCATTAAGCCAGAAGGCGCGACAAGTGACTGTCTTTATGAGTGAGCAATTGAACCATTGATTAAATGAACAGATTAGCTAGTCCAAAAAATATTGATTAACTTAGTAAAGAAAAGTAGCTGAATCTGATCTTTGATGCTCATACTAATTGCTCATATGCCTCTGGGCACAGAATGATTGCATTGGCGTTTGTTTGAAATGTAACATCTACAAAATAATCCTTGAATCATTTCTTATTTAAGGACATTCCCGTTTCGAATATGTGATTGTGTATTGTCAACAATATGCATAAACATTCTGCATTTCCATTTTATAGTGTGGATCACTCATTGCAACATTTAAACTGATTCTCATGTTAAAGAATCTGTAATCTGATAAAATAGGCCTACTTCATGCTGACCACTGACATGCTTTTAAAGCTACTGTTGTCCTTTTTTTATTTATTTTTTTGGCCTTCAAAACACCTTAAAATTGACATGTTGAGATCAGGAAAACCAAAATTTTCTTGGTGGGCCATGCCCCCAAACCCCCCTAGCAAGATCATTTTTTTGGAACTTTTATTTATAAAAACCCCCGTACGGCCCTGCGTGTCGGTGTGATTAAATCAAACAACAAACTGCCAAAGAAATTGGCCCTGATTCTTTTAAATCAACATTTTTTCTTGTTTTAAAAGATATTTGCCAACCAATATTTTCAAACATGTTAAATTTCATACATTTCCCGAGGGTGAAATCCGTTGCTGTCTGTTAACATTAAAGGTAAAAAAAAAAGAGTGAATTGTAAAGTATTTCTCTTTGTTTAAATATGTACTCAACCCTACCTTACACATTAATACTGGAAAAAAAAAAGCCTCTTTGGTGTAAAAGCACATTAAGTCATTTTACGGCACGATTTTGAATGATGACCATTCACCGTAAATACGGGCTCCCCCTCCCTATAAAAGCCAATTTAACCACTGCTCGAGCTCAACATCCGAGCCCCAGGCCGCGGATCCACGAGAGGCCTCAGCAGTCTCGGGAGCGCAACGGGGGGGAACGAATGCCTCCTTCTCAAAAAACGCGAGTCTAGAGCGGAGGGTTTTGAGAAGGAGATTGTCACAAAATTTACATTTTGACAATCCTAATACAGCCTCACGCGCATGCGAAAAACCCATACATTTAACACACTTACTGTGAGGGTCGTCGTTCGAAATGAAACGAACGCATGGCAGAGAGCAGCGTCGATAATCCATGACACTTCACTGTTACCCCTTTTCCACCAACAAGAACCGGGTGCTGGTTCAGAGCCAGAGCCAGAGCTGGTTCGGAGTTGGTTCGACTGACAAGCTTACTAAGAACCGGTTTGCCTTTCCACCGGCTAGAGAGCCACAACAGAGCCAGATCTTACGTCACTGCATACGTCTCATGTTGCCCAGCAACGCTAGTGCGGTAGCGCCAAACACAAACACGCCAGGCTTGTTCGAGATGCATCGGCTTCTCGCAGATCGATCGCCGCATGACATCAAAGCACTCAAGCGATTAAAAAGCACAAGGAGTCGTATGATCTCCAAACACTACCGCAGCTCCGATCGGTCCGCGCCGCTCCGATGCATCTCGAACAAGCCATCAACAATAACGGACGTTGCGTTACTATGGATGCTCATGGGTTTGCAAAAATACATCGGAATCCAACGCGTTTGTGCAGCTCGCCGTAACTTACATAGACGGATATTATAATCAAGCTGCTATTAGCTCGACTAGCTGCTATTTAAAAATGGCGGTCACAAGTTTCTATTCGTCTTGTTGGTCACGGTAACCCCGCCCCCAGCCCCTGACGCAAGCGGTTCTTACTTGGCTCTGTTCTAGACCAGCAATGATTTGGTGCTACTTAAGAACCACTTTTCCTGGTTCGGAGCTGGTGCTTTGCGTGTGGAAAAACAAAGAACCGAATTGAAACTAGGCTCTGGCTCCGAACCAGCACCAGCTCTGCCTTGGTGGAAAAGGGGTATGTAAGGAGAACAGAGTTCCACTTATACCAGTCGCTGAAGTGTCGAGACGAAAGCTGTAGTTGAATTTAGAAATTCGGGCTCAGAAAAACCGAACGAAGGGCAAGATGTGACCGCTTCGTGAAGGCAGAGACATCTGAGGAGAGGATGGCGTGCGCGCATTCATCATGCTACGACGTAAGAGCGTCGGGCGGAGCCAGCTTTGCGCGAGCGCCATCAGCCAATGAATTGGCGTGATTCTATAGGGCTTCAGGCAATCGGCACATCCAGAGGATATCCCACTGCGCTTTCCGCAGCGTTGAGTGAACCTATGAAAGGGAACAGCAATTTTTATGAAGAAGTACTTGAAAAGCTTGAATTATTGAAAGACAATGGGAATTTGTTTTTAAATTTTATTGATAAAACAATCTTTTCACACAAAATTAACGCTGCGGCCCGTCTTATATAGATATAGAGGCATTTTGCATGGCTATGAGCGTGATATTGCTCATTTAAATATCCAAGTGCAGCTTTTTATTCTCCAAGTCAATAATATATTCATGGGAGAAAAAATCAGTCCTTGGAAAAAAAAAAGTAGTGCTTGAACACTCCTTGAAAGTCTTGGAATTAGATTTTACAGTATCTGTACGAACCCTGTTATTTCAGAGCTAGTGCTATTACTAAATAAATAAACGAATGAATGATTTGAGTTGAAGTTATTTTATTTTACCTGCACTGCTAGTTATAAGAAAACTTTGCAATTTACTTTGAGTTAAAGTTACTTTGGCCAGTTGTCAGTTAGTTATACAATCATTATACAAAAATATTTGACCAAATAATGTGATTGACCAATCAGAATCAAGAATTCCAGAGTAAATGTAATCATGAAAACAAGTTTAATTACATGTTTTGACTATATGTAATCATGTTGGTTAAAACTATTCATGACAGTTTTTGTATTGTATTGCTGATAATCGTCTTGTCTGTGTCTTTGTTTTCAGGTACCTCTCGTAGAACCAGTTTATTCGGAACGTTCCCAGGAAACTATGTTAAAACGCTTTAACAAAGAGGAAACAATGGCACAAATACAGCCACTCCAGTGCCTACTGTGTAGGGCCAATGAGGCACCTCACCTTTGAGAAAGTGTGTGTGTGTGTGTGTCTTTATGTGTGAGTGTGTTCACAAACACAACATTTTTAGCTCTGCCATTTCTGCACAGACAAACCACTGAAATTCATTTCACTTTGAGCACTTTTTTGTGCCATCACACAGTCTCCTCACTGTTCCTTTATCTGCTATTTTGACATTTTGTTATTTTCCAGGATGTGGTAAAGTTAGTACGGTGAGGATTCAGGTAGCATGGTATTGAGTGAGGTCAGTAGAACAGTATGAATGGTACTGAGGGGAAGCCCCATGGCATCAGTGTTAAACTGAGTCTGTGTAGTGTAATAAACAGTGCACGGTTAATAGCAATATAGAGACCACTGGTTATAGATGACGATGTATAGTTTCATTAAAATGAGCTACAGGTGGTGTCATGGACAATTATACAATTGTTCATTCCCCTTGTGTGGCCAAAATAAGAAAGTGATAGAAACAGATGTGTTTTTAACCATTAATTGTATAGTTAACTATGGGGTGAATTAACTTTTTCCAAGTCTTCTCAATGGCAAAAAAATGTCCCAATCATCCTGAATTCACCCCTACTTTTGCCATACAGAATTACAAAATAACTCTCATGGAGAAATGTTGCTATTGTTTAAGTGGCAATCATTCATATAGGATAATGTTTGTATAATTATCAGTGCATTGTGGGTATTTGTATAAGTTTTCTTTAAAAAGAAAATGCATTGACATTATGGAAAGGAAAGATGCTTTTATGAAATTTGGTAACAAATATTTGATTAATGAACATGTTTTCTAATGTTTACTTGAGAATTTTTTGAATGGACTGAGTTTTAGAATTGTAAACCAGGTGTCAGTGAACCACCTGACTTTCATACAGTAAAAAACAAACATGTAAATCATGATTAAATCATTGCTGGTTTTAGTAATGAATGGCAACAATGTTACAAGAACAAGTAGAGCCTGTTATAATATTTAATTTTTCATTTTCTTTTTTCATTTGTTAACCTAAATTAACTAATTTATCTAAAAGGTAATTTCTCAATTTTCACTTTGTTTGAAAGTTTGATCTCTGGTATAAAACTTAAATTATGTAATATATCTGCCACATTTCTCATGAGATTGACTCATATAGAGATTTCATCATATAACGCAATAGAGAGAGTTGTTGGTCTTTGATGAATGTTGTTCACGTTTCGTTTTTGAATGATTTGTATATCAGTATTTTCTGCACTAAGTGTAACACTTGTGTTCTCATGTGAAAACATAGCTTGTGTTGCATCGGCTTTTACAAGTACGTATATTCAGTATATGGAAAAGTGTGTCTATGAATTTCACAGACAGCAGAGCAATCTTAAAGCACCTTAAACATTTATTAGTTCTATTATTTTTGTTTTCTTTAAAGTTGAAGTGCGTAAGAATGTTAATAATGAAATATTGTCTCTTTATGTAGCATAATATGCAGGGACAACTATAAGAAATCCATAGGTTGATTCAACCAAGTGTAAACACTGTGGCACTGGAGCACAACCAATAGTTTGAGTTTGGGGCGGGGTTATCTGTTTAGCTGTCCAATGGCTGATGGGAAGGGTTTTGGAAAGCTGTTTGAAAACATTTTCAATTACATTTGTTGAGGCAGACATTACACACTTCAGCTTTAAATATTTTAATCCCACTGTTTGCATTTTCCAGCTTCACAGCTGTGTTTGCTGATACTTTATATGTCCTTTTGTATTGTACTGTACATGAGTTTCACTTCCATTATAAAGCCTTCCTTTCTCACGTTTGGTTTCTTTCATCTGTTTTTTTAATCATTTATACTTCATCCCATGTGCCAAATTTGTTCTACACACCCAACTTCTGTGGTGCAAAAAAAAAAACGAAAGAAAATGTATGCAAAAAAAGAAATAAGCAAAGAACATTTGTGGTACTAATAAAGGACTTTCTTCGGCACAGGATGGATACGGATGCACACTGTAGTAAAACTGCAGTCACTGTTTGCCTTTGCTACAGACACAAACTACTCTCCTCTACTAAAGACAGTGGATTTTTTGGAGGATATTCTTTTGCCTTTTTCTTTATAGGCATATAGTGTTTGTGTTAACACTATATAACATATGGTGTTATTTGATTTGTGTGTGTGTGCTTGATGAACTGCTGAGCTTAAGAGGATCTTTAACCTGCTCACTTTCAAATAAAGCTTTCTCTCTCCTGTATTATTTTCTTTCTCTATCTCTCTCCCTCTGTCTCTGCTCTTTTGTTTTGTTCTATATCCAATAAACTTCTGCTCAGTTGTTTAAGATTCTGTTTATCCACTGCCTCCAGGTCAGATATAATAATGGGATTGTAATTTTTGTATTCATTCCAAGTATTTTGCAACCTTTTTATATTTCTCTTTTCACAGCTAAAAGTGCATATGTCAAATCAAACAACAAAGCAATTGTTATTTACTGTAAAAATAGGCAAACTTGTCAAGAAAGGAATTTCACTATATAGAAGAAGTGATGTATGATAAAATATATACTAACCATTCAAAAGTTTGGGTACAGTAAGATTTTTTATATTTTTGGAAAGAAGTCCCTCCTTACCAAGGCTTGATCAAAATACAGTATACACATAAATATTGTCAAGTATTATTATAAATAAGTTTTTCCTATTATTAATGTATTTTTAAACATTTAATTTATTACTTTAGCTGAATTTTCATCATCCATTACTCCAGTCTTCAGTTTCACTGTTTCTAATGTGCTGATTTGATGCTCAAGAAACATTTTTTATTATTATTATCAATTATTATCATTACAATGATGTTTTGTCCACACACACACACAAAAACATTACTAAAACATAACACACAGGTCAAGGCTTTAAAGCTGTAGCCAGAGAAATATGAGCATCTGACTTATTATCATTGACTTTTATTTTGTTTGGCCATATCCCCAAAAACCTTTTATGGAATAAATCAATCAGGCCTGTTGAAGTCCAATTCCTGTCAATGTCTTTGGGGTTACATTGTTACTCTGTTGTTAAAGAGCTAGAAACTTGTACTATAATCGAGTTATGTCATTTATTTTTATATATGTAAAACTGACTGAACTATTCCAACTAAGATGGAGGAATTGATAAGACGAGAGATGGAGGAAGCCCAACTGTTTGTGCCAGAAAAAAAAGGAATGCAAGGAAACAGAAGAGTTTACGTGTCCACTGCCATATTTATGTTTATTATTACTATATCAACAAAGTAGGAGTATAAAATCAGGCCACATGAGAGAAGAAGATATAAAAATGAGAGAAACTGAACAGGGCTCTTCTTAACTTGTGATATACAGCGAAATCCAGATTGGTAATAAAAGAATGTGCCTGTGAGACCTCACAAGCCTCCACTTCGTACACTCACCAAATAAGGGCAGAAGCAGTGAGCCCTGTCTACAGGCCCATATACAAGCACCCGTCCCGGGCCCATGAGGACCAGAGAGTCCTGCCTCTATCTCTGCTGGATGCATGACAGTGTGGTCAATGTTTCTGTGTAGCTCTGATCTAAGATCAGTCTCCCTTACTAGAAATATGGTAGAAGATTCTTATATTAACAGAAAAGGACTACTAACCTTGAACTAATGCTTAACCATTATAGGCTGGACAAAAATGGGCACACCTTGGCTATTTTAACCTTAAATTGCTTAAATTGCCAAGGAATGACTGGATGAACTTGATTTTACCTAGTAGAACATGTTCCTGGATCAATATCCTTGTTGATTCTGGAACAACATTCCAATCAAGACCCTTTATATGACCACTTAGACTTATTGAATAAAGTCAATTTTTTTGGATCAGATTGAATTCCTTAAAAAGTTACCAAGTAAGTCACTTAGATTGAGGAAACCATTTGTATGAAATTAACAAAAAAATGTTTAAAAATGACAGAACACCCTCGCGTTGTCCAAAATATTTTCTTTCTTACAATGTAAATTAATTATATAAAAAGTATCCAGGCTAATATGTAAACTAACCAGCAAACTAGCAATCAATCAATCAATCAATCAATCACTCAGTCAATCAATCAATCATTTCAAGGTAAAAACAAATATATGCGTCTATTTCGTAAAACAAATGAAGACCATTTTTGATATTGTCATTGTGAAGAAGGGATAGTTATGAAAATGAAATGAAAAAATTCAAATTCTGTCACAATTTACTCACCTTTGTAAGGATTCAGGGCGGATCTAATCCGTGGGGAATTTGCATATCATAATTAATAATTGGTAATTAATAATTATTCATACATGTTTGGAGTAGATCAGTCTTACATGTTAATAAATCTCCCGATAAGGGAGGATCTGTCATTTTACCTGCATGCATGCATGTGAATCCCTGAAATTAACCACAAGTTGATTGCAATTAATTACACGGACCACGTTTCACAAAACAGGTAAAATGAATTAGCTCAATTGTCAGGATAATATTTGTGGGGATCCACCATATCATCTTACTTTATAGGATTTCAGGAAACGCAATTCTCTGGCCAGAAGAATTGGGTTTCCCGCCCTATAAACACAACACATACTCTTTAAGGTATTTTTAATTTTAGTAAGCTTGTAGCATAAGATCTTTGGCACTTAAGGGACTTGAAACTGAGCAAAGAGACAGTACATCAATCAAATGAATATATAATTAATTTAATAGAGGCATGACTACTTATGTATTTACTACGGTTACACGGGATATATGTATTTACAGACACATAGACATCGATGAACAATACAATAAGACATCAATGAACGAGAAATGCGTAAAGTTTGGACAATGGATATCTTACACGCGTGAGCGAGTAAGAGAGAGAGAGAAGGGGATGGGGAGAGAGAGAGAACACAACAGTGGCAGAATTTTACCTAAGACATTCACCTCTCCGATTACAACACGAAACATCATCTTAAAGCTCCTTAGAAGCTCTATAAAGAGATTATACTTGCACAAGTTATGTTATGGTCTCTCAGTGTGTCGAGGCATTCCCGTACGGCCCTGTCTGGCCGCGTGAGCTGAGTCCTTTGTGTGCGAGGAAGCGTCACGTGGGCTGCTTGGCGCGCGTGTTGAACGGAGGTTCACAGTCTTTGGGGTAACATTACCAAAGGGAAATAGTTCGGCTAAGTTCGTTTCACTTCGTGGAAGTGAACTGAGTCAACTACGGAAAACAAAACTTTGACTAACAAAAAAGAAATAAAGATCTCTACGGGGAAATCACGCGGAGTTAACGTTACATCTTTGCATGGCTGGTGAAGAAGCGCGTGCGTCGCTCGGTCCGGCGCGTCACGCGGTCA